TTTTGGGGTAGATTCCCGTGGTTTATTGCTTACATACAACACCCAGTGCTCATCCCAACAAGTGCCCTCCTCAATGTCCATCACCCATTTCCCCTCTGCCCCACCTCCCCATCTACCCTCAGTTTGTTCTCTGTATTTAAGAGACTCTTATGGTTTGCCTCCAATTGAGTCATTATTGACATCAGTATTATAGCTATTTTTTTTATTTCATATATTATAGAAATTAATGTTGATCTGGTTTATTCCTAAACTTGCAATTTAGAATATTTCTGATGTCATTAGTGTTTTACAACACTGAGAGCATATTTTTTTGCTGCTACACTAATAGATAATTTTTACTTTAAAAACCGAGCTTTAGTATCAATTTTTTCTTAAGGTGATTTAATCAACTTGGCTAACTACATATCAAACTTTAGGCCACATTCTGAAATATTTTAGAAAGTATAGGATAACCTTAAGAGAGCCTAGACATAAAAGAATATATCCTGTTGAATGGGTTGGAATGGTAACTCCTTTCTCACTGATCTGTGTCTGGATGTTTATAATAGTTTAGCTAAGTACCATGTGTTTGGGCTATGTTTCTTGACAAAGCTGAAACTGACCACAGCCACTCAGAACTCTGGGGTCAACACTAAATGCCTGCTCAGTACCTGTGCCTATAGCAAAGCAACCTCCGGTTGATCCAGAGAGTTCTCTGAGCTTATAGCGCTCCACCTTTTGTCTGGTGTTCTTATCTCAGTACCTCCTAACTGATTTTAATGCCACAGGGCATGTATTTACTTTTAAAAATTAAAAGAGGATTAATTCTAATTTTATTTTGAAAGACTTTTTTTTTTTCTTTTAGTATTTCACAACACCCTTTTGAACTATTTGGAGATACTCTAGGGTGTTGCAAAAAGAGGATTAGAAACAACTGTTCTAGATCCAAGGTTCTACTTTACCAATATGCAATCTTTTTTCTCAACCATGCTGGTGTTGTTTTCCTGGAATGTTCACATTCTTTATTTTGTCTCACTCTTCATTGGCAGAGGCTTTATTTCTCGTGTAAGATACAATAAAATGTTCTTCCAGGACTCTTACTTCCCTGTACTCCTGGACTTTTCTGGGCAATATATATGCCATTTTACTTATAAATGTTTTCCTAGTTAAGCTTATATCATGTTCTATTATTTTTCTGTTAACTCTACCTTATGTCATTCACCAGAGGTTTTCATACAAACATTGAAAGATAACTGTCACCACAGGACTGTGTTCCAAAGCATTTAATTAGAGTTACTCAGAATGAAGCATAATTTATCAAAGATTAAAAATTATTATAGGATGCATGGAGATATACCCTAAAATATTGAGGGATGTTGTCCAGTAGTATAAAATTGAATACTAGTCCAAACATTCATTTGAAGCAAAGCTTGACAAAATTAATCATATTGAAAGGGCAAAAAAGGTTAAACTGTTTGCTGAGCACTGAAAAGACCAATGGTGTAATAACTCAATGAGCGAAGGCATGTAAGGAAGACAAACCAAAGACAGAGGAAATCCATACTGCGTGACAATGTGAGCATAGGTGAAGGTGCATTGCAGAATGTGAGAAGATTATACTGGCCAAACAGAAGTAAGACAGGTTGAAGAGTAATAAAGGAAGCAGTAATGTGTGCCAGGGTAATTATAAGGGACTTGAATTCTTAGCTCCAAAGAAGGAACTGAGATGATTGTCTCAAAATACCATGTTTGTGATGCTGCTTTGAGGTCAGATTTGTCTATGTGCATCTCTCTTTCTTTTTCAGGACTTTTAAAAATTTAGCTCCAGAGAGTAGGGTGAATTAGAATTTTGGAAAAAGTTGGTCAGCTAAATGCCAATTCGTTCAAAGAGTTACATGATGTTGATATATTTGCTGGCATATTTGCAAAAGGGAGAAAGACTGGGGTCATGAAAATTCCCGTACAGAGGAAATGAGAATAATTCCACCTTGTCAGTTGGTAATTCTGTTTACAGCCTTCTTTTTCCTCACTTGGTGCAGCCATCCCTTCCACTTTCCAACGGAAGAGGCCTATCAGGCCAAAATGTATGAGCAAAGGTCTGATGTGATGATGCTGTGAATCTTGGCCCTTAGTCAAACATGAATGCAGCCTAAGTACAGTGAGATTCCTTCTTCTCTGCTTCCCAACAAGGGGTTGGAAATAGGCCAGTGGATTTTGATTGACTGTGGGACCTGATAACCTTCTAAGGTAGTGGTATATGTCTTTGACTGATATTTGTTCCATTCCATTGAGCAGGATGGATCTAGGCACATAACTAAAAAGGGAAAATTTGGCTTGGACAAAATCTATGTTATAGCTAAAGTATAACCCCCCTCATCAAAATCTAATGAAGTTAGGACAAAACGCCAGCAGTTAGCATCAACTTGAGTGTCATGGTCTGGGTGTTGGGGTCACCCCTTACTCTATTGGGTAATGATGAAGTTCTCAATGGCAACAGAGCAGGAAGTGCAGCTTAATGAGAACTGAGATCCAGTTTTGACCCTGCACTTAACTTGCCGAGTGACAGAGGAGTGGCTGCCCTCAATTTAGTTGTTTGTGCCACGAGAGAATTGCACAAGATGAGCTAGATTAGATGAGTCTTCCTTGGACTTGAGATAAGCCACCCAGTATCTCCGGGTTTCAATTTTGCCACAAGTATAGGAATAGCAATTTGAGATTCTAGAAGTTTATAGAAATTTTATCAAATTCTTAGAAAGTACAAAGTTCTATGTACATATGTAAAAATAGTGGTACTAGCTGGTGAGGTCAGAGAGTGGTTCCCACAACCTGGTATCCAAGAAGGGGCTGTCTTTATTTTTTCAAAGGCCTATTGGAATCCTTTTATGTAGCTATATTGAGGCATTCCAGGCTGATTTTGACTGGGATAGTATAAATTTAGTGTAATGACTTTGGGAAGCCCATGCTGTTCAGAGGTGCTGACTGGTGTTAATGCAATATAAATCTTTGATTCGTGAGAAATAGAATGTGGATTACTAAATTAATAAATGCAATCTTTCCCGTGGGCAAAATATTTTGGGAAAAAAAAGAAATCTCTATGGAATAAGGAAAGAAAATAATTGAGGTCCACACTCTCTTATCTTAAAACTCTTGGGGCCAGATATGTTTTAGAATTTAGAAAATCTTTGGATTTTAGCAATGTACTAGGTTACATTGCTAGTACAATGTAGTAGTACTAGTTACTTACCTCTAGTAAGTAACTCTTCAGCAGGGCTTGGCCAGCACCCCTTAATTAAACATACTAACTTTCCTACAATTAAACATGTGAATAGTCACGCAGACTAGTCAGTAAGATTCAAGAAAGACTCAGTGGCCTCATTATGGTTCAGATTGGGTTTTGTTACCAAATAAGTTTAACCTAAATCTACAAAAAACCTTACAAAGTGTTTTGGATTTCTGAACTGTGGCTAAAAGGTTATCTATGGCCTTCATTAAGTAACAGATTATTGGGGCGCCTGGGTGGCTAAGTCGGTTAAGCGTCTGACTTCGGCTCAGGTCGTGATCTCGCGGTCTGTGAGTTCGAGCCCCGCGTCGGGCTCTGTGCTGACAGCTCAGAGCCTGGAGCCTGTTTCAGATTCTGTGTCTCCCTCTCTGACCCTCCCCCGTTCATGCTCTGTCTCTCTCGGTCTCAAAAATAAATAAACATTAAAAAAAAATTTAAGTAACAGATTATTGAGCAATTACTATGTGCCAGCTTTAAGATAGTGCCATTTGCAGGACGCCTGGGTGGCTTAGTTGGTTGAGAATATGATTCTTGATTTTGGCTCAAGTCATGATCTCACAGTTCATGGGATGAGCCCCTCATCAGACTTTGCACTGACAGTGCAGAGCCTGCCTGGGATTCTCTGTCTCTCCTTCTCTCTCTGCCCCTTATTCATGTGTACACCCTCTCACTCAATAAATAAATGAAACATTAAAAAAAAAAAAAGATAATGCCGTTTTCACTAATCTTTGTAAACAACCCCTCAAAGTGGACATTGTTATCCATGATCCATAATTTTCAAATCAGGAAATTCAGGGTCAAGTACTTTCAGGGAGTGGCCAGAGGATACATCAATAACTAAGTTGCAGAACTGGGATTTGAACGAGGCTCCTTCTGGCCCCAAAGACAAAACACCATGTCGTTTACTCACGGCTTAGTCAAGACCTCTGGTTAGTGTGATGATCTGCCACTATTGCCTACACAGTTAA